GAACGGCACATATTCGCCCATGGATTTTTCCCAAAAAACGAAACTATTTATCTGATTTGGGGTGATGATGATGATGGGGTGATGTATACAGGGGACATTCTTTGTTCACTTCCATGTTCTTATGCCAAAGGTTCATACACCTTGGAGAAAAACTTTCGTTTCAAACCTAATAAATTTGGTATACTAAATATCTGTTATTTGAGAGCAAAAAAAATCTTGAAAAAAACCTACTTTTCCATCGCTGCCGAAATTTCGCCACTGCCAACCAAATGGGCACGGAAATCGAGTCAAGAACTGCCTGCGGTCTTGTTAAGCAGAGAAACAGCAGCTAACGGCATACTTTCCCTATTTTATTCAACTTGACTGCTGTACATGACCTAATTTGCATTCCAACATACTTCTGAAAGAAAACGCATATGTACATCAATTAAAAAAATTATTTTTCCCTACTCAAACATTCGTTTACATGAATTGTTACATGTCTTGTAAGCCTGCTGAGTATTGATTTATTATACTCATTGAAAAGAAAAATCTTAGCTTAACCTCAAAAAATCATACAGATTTACAAGCATAAAGTAACAATAAAACCTATACATATGTATATGTATACGCGCATGTCCAGCAGGCCAGGCAATAGGCTCGTGGAACTTGTCAAAGTGCTGTGATATCAAAAATTTCAAAAAAAAAAACAATTAAAAAATTAAGTTCGAAAAGAATGTGTGGAGAAGTGAAAAAGGAATTTACTAATATTACTTGCCAGTGCTGTGTTTACATCTGCCTCGAATACCTGCAAAGGTTAATGACACAGCCCTGGCTGCTCGCTCACTGCACACCTTATCGCCGTCGTTCAGTTTTGCTCCGATGCAATGCACCCAAAAACTATACAAAACAACGGTTGCGTTTGTGTATGCACGCAATGAAATGCAGACGCAAAGGTTTGACCGAAAACCAATATTCAATCACGCGCATAAAAAAACCTAAAAAAAGAGTAAACAAGTGGGAGAAGGGATAGGCGTAGGGAAATGTCTGTATAAAATTGTTTCAGTAGAAAAGTGTGGCACGCCATCTTAGATACATATTTTGAGAGGTGTTTGCTGAGCACATTTTGGTCAAACAACAAAACATTAATAACTGATAATGCCATGATCATGTTTTTCAGTTGCTTGAAAGTATTTCACTTTGGCCTGACTACTACTGATATGTAGGCACATAGATATGTATGTTTGTACATTAGACCGTACCACCTTACAAGCAAACAAAAATAAGTTCGCCATACACCCCTGAGTGCAAGATAATTATGCAAGGCAATTTTGAAAAAAATAAATAAAAATTTTTTTTTGGGCGAACTTATTGGTCACATTTTTACATTTTTCGGTGTCACTTACATTCAGAATTAAAAATATTTTTTTGGAAGAATTCCTACTGGAATTTTGAAAATATTTTCTTAAAGCGCAATTCGTCAACGCCATGCGGTGGTGAGTTTACGTTAACACGCGAATCCCATAAGGTAGATGATGCCTGCGTCAACCTACGTCTACGCTACTTCGTTGACTATTCGAGCTTTTAGCTAAAGTTGAAATATTTTTTGCGAGCTTTAATTTATTGACATTAGGGTAGTACGTTGGAGTGTTAAGAACTGAGATTTGGTGGGTAAGCATTAGAACTTTGTTCTTGAAGTCAATGAACTTTGTAACAAGAAAAATTCCTCCTCGAGACAAGGGCATCAATATATCATACTTTAGTAACCGACTATAAACCGAATGTTAAACGGCGACCCCTACATTCGGTTGAAAAAAAATGTTGAATTGCCTTCGAATCGATATACTTCCTTAGAAAGCTTTGAAAGAAACGTATTCCTTAAATTAATGTGGATTGTGAAGCTAATTTTGGTCAACAAAATGGACTAGAATTTTGGCTTCTCAAGAGCTCTCTGAAACCTGAATTTTCCATCCATGGTAGATTGTCACGCAAAGCTGAGAAGTGCTTCTAGGCACGGCAGAATCGGTGCGATCAAAGAAACTTCTTGAATTTATCAAACGGCCGCGCTACTTATCGATACAGTATAATAGGATTTATGTGGCTGCTTTCAGGACTACTTGTAAGTCTCTGCCATGCTGACTAGTTATACATGTGAGGATAAACTTTTCTGAGTTTCAGACGCCTCTAAGTGTGCTGTCTCAGCGTGCCTTAGGACGCTAATCTACCACAAAGCAGTTATTCATGTTATGAGCTTGATGAGAATAGTAGGATTGATAACTGGACTGAGTTGTCTACGAATATGTGTCTATCTACAATCACCGTAAGAGAGAGCAGACGGCTCGGGTGTAATATGTGTAGTTACTTCCGAAAACCCTTTTTATGTATTCGCGATCAATGTGTTTAGGCGCGACTACTAACACCAACCGCCTAAATGCATGTAATTTACTTCATTAACTTTATGACTTTCTCAATTGCACTTCTCAATTGCCATATAATAAAATTTTCTTAAGTTATAATCTGATGGCACTTCAAAGTATGCTCGGCCTAGTCTGACGCATCCTCCGGACAATGCTTTCGGAGCTTTTACGGACTCCGCATGACTTACAATCACTTGAAAAAACATATATATATATATCGTTGCCTTAATATAGAAAGGCCCTATCTCACATCGTCGCTGAAATGCACAAAGCCGTAACTAACTAAAATCTTTTATTGCATAAAACGATGTGAGGCCACATAATTCGATATACTGCATCATAATCAATTAAAACGTAAATTTTCGATTTTTAGTTAGTTACGACTTTTTGTAAATCAGCGACGATGTTAGATAGGGCCTTTCTATATTAAGGCAACGATATATAGATTTTTATAAATACATGCAAACATACTGGTTTTCCCTCTTACTGAGTTATTCACAATGAAACAATAGCAATAATACCAAATTATGTAAGATACTTTAACGATGCCTTTGTCGCCCTAAGGCCATGAGAGTGGTCTTTTATCCTACCCATTATAGTAAAACGAAACTAAAAGGCCGTGCCTTAAGGTATTACCATTTCGATTTTAGTAATGCATTTAAGCTGTATCTCATTTTTATTAAATGTCAGCTAGGCTACTCTTGCCCTCAAGGCCTCAATTTTATCTTGTCTAAATTAAAAAGCAAAGTACATACATACAAAGTAACCTTCCGATTCGTGTGGTAGATAGATGAATAGTTGAATAAAGCACTGCGGCCAGTAGGTCGATTGTGCCCTCAGTTCATCACAGTACCTCAGCTAGATCCCGGGGGTAGAGAGTGTAGGTGGTCCTCTCTTGGTCATAAATGCCCTATGCTCCCTTCTACGTGCTACGGCCTCACACTCCAGAAGGAGGTGTAATGGAGCCTCCTTGGCAGCGTCACAGAAGCGACATAGGTCACTAGAACAGATTCCTAAATTATAAAGTGTTCTCTTAACCTGCAACCCCGTCAAGATACCTGTAATTATCCTTAGTTTCTCCTTAGGGAGGCCTGTGAGTATGCTGTATTTTTTTTTAATGTACCCTCCTAGTAAGCTTGACGAAGTCACATGGTATTATGCCAATGCAATTCCCTTAGCCTGGTGCTTTCATTCTTGAGCGCTTCTTTTATCGTGTTGGGACCAATTGGAAGAAAGGGCTCCTGTCCTATCAGGGTCGAGGCAGCAGCCAGTCTGACCAGATGGTCCGCTTCCTCATTACCTTCGACTCCCATGTGCCCTGGTAGCCATAGAAATTGGAGGGTATTATTATCAGCCAGAGCATTAAGCCTCTCTACACACTCCAGAACCATCGAGGACCTGATCTCGAGTGATGAGAGAGCATTGAATGGCGCCTGGCTATCGCTTAAAATTAGCACACAGACTGATGGCATTCACTTCTGTTTGGAAGATGCTGGGGAAGGTTTCCATGAGCACCGAAAGCTTCAGTCTAGGACCATAAACACCTGCTGCTGTCTTCTTATGAGTTTTAGAGTCATATGTGTACCAGCTTAATGTGCTCGCCTGGACGTGTCTCTCAATGATTGAGGTACTCCAGGTCGCCTTTCTGTGTATTTTAACATTATGGTTTCTTTTGAAAACCACTACTTTATACTGTCGTCCCTGGGGAGGAGAACTAGAGGGAGCTGGAAGTCCAGCCTGTCCCGGTTCCTGGATGACAAAACCTTACCTTGGCTAAAGCCTTCTCTCGCAAAATTAAAGAGTCCGCTTTGCAGCTGGATCAACTGATAGATACAGTGGCTCAAGTTCCAGCATTACCTCCAGCGCTGCCGTCGGACATGTGCGCATTGCCCTCGTAATACAAATGCACCCATCCATCCATACATACACCTAGGGATCCTTGGAGCAGAACCCCAGGATTTACCCGCTAGACGTTTACACACCATCAGCGCTCTCGTAGCCCTGGAGGTGACCGCTTTGACGTTAGTCCTCCACAGGAGTTTGGAATCCAGGAAAAGTCCCAGATACTTACCTTCTGTAGCGACGCCGAGTGGTATATTCGTAATTTTTTTTTAGTCGATCAGCAAGATGTCTTTGTATAGGGGGTTTTGTCTTGGAGTACTATCAAAAAATGATGTGGAATTGATCCACTCCCCCAACGTCAATTTTTTCGGCTGCATAACTACACGTATACTTGTTTTTCTGGGAAGACAACCTCTTGATAATTTGGAGTACCTTAGGTTAGAGGAAACACATTCCCAGCTTCGTAATAGACAATGACTGCTGAAAATAATCTAATCTAACCTACCGTCCCAGCAGCCTTATCAATGATAAAAATTCCATCAGTACGACAAATCTAAAATTATTCACAATCGAAGCGTATGGTGCCCTATTTCAATCACACATACTAAGTAATTTTATTTCCTAACATCAACACCTCAGCATACCTTGCAGCATTTATACTTCCGCACCGGAAATGCGCATTTTTTTTAATCAAATACGTACACAAATGTGTCCCCCTTTTGATTTAACCAACTAAAAAATAAATAAAAAATATTTGCTTACCTTGCAACACCACAACCCGACAACCATCCTGCTTCAAGCGCCGATACAAAATATTTATAGTAGCATCCGCAACGACATTATTGCCGCGTGGGCCGCCGCACATCATATCCAAACCACATCCGGCGCCGCCACCGCCACCAAGCGCTTCGCCAGTTCCTCCAGCCCCAGTTGAGGTATGCGCCTGGAGTACTGGCTGCTCCTGCATGCCGGCATCATTATACAATACGAATAGGCTCACTTTGTAGCCCTTCTGTACGCGTTCTTTCAAATCGGTTGACTTAATTGTTGATAACAAATCGATTTTACCGAGCGCTAATCGGCGCAACATAATGCTTGGTATGAAGAAATTCACTGCTGAACGGATGCGCGATTCGCTAAATTCGTGGGAGCTGCGACAATCCAAAAGGATTAATTTTTGTGCCAGCAGCGACGAGAGCGGGTGCGTATGGCTGTGTTGTTGTTGTTGCGATGAAGCGGATATGGAGCGCAACTCGGCCTGCAGCCATTCCTTTGTAATGCACTCAAATTCGGTTTCCGGCATAGTGGCGTTAATTTAAATGAGTTAAGTGGGGAAAAATTTAGTGTAAATAATATTTTGGAATTTGTGTGAGTTTTTTTTCTGTTAACAGTGATTACTGAATGCCTGTAAGGATTCCTTTAAGCTTTTAAAGATTTTTAAGGATGTGTTTTTTTCCTGTGTTTTGTACTAAACGTGTTTTTATATCTTTTTTTTTAGTTTTACAAATAATTTTACACCGCACACGCGCTTTATTCTGCTTTACGCCGCACTAATTTCCGATACGTTACTCTGAGTCGCGCACCGCTGCAATACTGACGCATCGCGTGATCGTCATTCGTTTCGTTCACTTTGTTTGTACTGCACTGTATGCCAAGAATTTCGGTTGCAGTTGTCCGATTGCACTTATTTGCGCTCTTTGCTGTTGCTGATTTTTTTTTTTTAGTTTATTTATGTACACGTTTTTATATATTTTTTTTGTTTTTGCGTATAGCGCTTGCACTCGTATCTGTTGCTGCTCTTTTTTTTGCTATACTCATGTGCCCATAACTTATGGTTTATTTTGGTAGCCTTCTATCTCACTTAAATTCATCAACGATTTGTCATTTTCTAATTTCTAAACAAAAAATTCTGCACACTGTGCCTTTTGGTCGGACAAATCTTTCGTATGTATGCAGTTGTTGCTCGAACGCATCGACTTGTCAACAGCACATCTCTGCCAACAGCATCATCCTCCTCATTGACAACGCATTCAATTACTCATGCAGCTCATGTAATGGCTTTTGGTTGATGCAATAACGGCCAAAGCAACCCAAGCGAGCAGCGCGGAACACTAATCAACAGAGCGAAAGCGTTCACCGCCTCTCAAACTGTTCGCGCAATTTACTTTATTTTAACTTGGAAATATGTTCTTTGTGTTTTTGCTTGAGTTTGACTGCCAAGTTCTGCCTTTTCACTTTCAATTTTCCGCAAACTGTTTTTCTTGGTTTTTTTTTGTTTAATGTTTTCACTTCCTTCCGCTTTTGCTATATATATCTCTTTTAGCTATAACTAACTCACTAAACTACCAACGGAAAAAAAACACATTTCATTTTCCACTCTGTGGTTCATCTTAGCATTTTTTACACTTCTGCTTTGCTTCTCACCTTTGCTTTGGAGATTTACTTCTTTGTAATGTATTTTTTTTCTCCTTCTGCGATGCATCAAAAGTAAGCGTTTGCTGTTTTATTCACTTGCACATTTCCTGCCGTTCATTCAATAGTATTACTTTTTTAACTATCTACTTTTATTAACTAATTTACGCGCAAAATCAGCACTCCACTTGCGTTTTTTGTTCAGCGTTTTCTACCTCAACTAAATTATGATTTTCTTATAATAACTTCAGCACATTGAATATGAGAGAAACATACAGAAAAAAAGTAGAAAATCGACTACAGCGCGCAACACGGATACACTACCACGTTTGAGTGTCAAGAAAACACGACCAGCTACGATGGCTGAAACGTTCCGAATGTGGACAACGACAAAGCCAACAGCATTCAAAACGCCAGCCAAGTGGATTCCACGCTGCAAAATCACAGTAGAATAATAAGAAACACAAAAAAAAAACAGCGCATACACACACATGCAGTATTCAGCTCTCCCCCACTGCTGGTGCTTGTTCTTCTAATGCCTCTGCTGCTTCTCATCTCGGTGGCCACGTTTGTATGCACATATGTATGTCCGTATAAATGTGGTGGTACATATACATCCCTGTAGTGAAAATCTCTAATTCTGAACTGGTGTGCTTCTAGCACACTTAGACCCAGTACTGGATCCTGATAAATCTCTTTTGCATGTAAACGAATGACGAATTTAACATGGCGATGTCCTAGGAAGTGTCAATTGCCCTCGCTGCATCCCTTTTTCGGTAGTGCCGAACTTGACCTAAATTCCATAGTTCCGAACCAGTTCTAAAATCCACAGACGAAAGAAAAAAGTATCATTATTTTTCAATCATTTTGGTTCTTCCGTGTGTGCGGTTTTAAATTATTTTCAAAGAAATGTGATTTCGATTTGAAATTAAATTTATTTTAATGGTTGTAAGAAATGTACGTTTACATACTTTTGGCTGTAGGTGAGTTTGCAGAGATGCTTGCTTTTAAAATGTTAACTAAAATTTTTCTTTTGTATTGCCAAGCTATGAAAAACCATCTGCGAAAAAGCCGCCAAACACATATCTATGTAAAGTACACAATCCCCCCCGCTGCATCCCTTTTTTCTATAGTTCCGAACCAGTCCTAAATTTGTCACCTTAGATATAGAGTTTAATGAAAAAAGTGAAATAAAATAGGTTTTTAAAAGTGCCACATTTCGTTGATTTTGAACTGGCGGGGATCTAGTTAGTATCGGACTGGTTCGTTTTTGGCGATAAATATCTAGTACGGATCTAGAAATTTGATTCACTAGTTCGCGGTTTCTCTGCAGGGATATCTGGTAGTATGCGGTAGGAGAAATTTGCTTGCACACTTGTACGACTGATTGATGGAGAGCGAGAGCGTCAGTGCCAGAAAGAGATGGAGCGCGCACCAAAGTTGGAGCGCAGTATGAATGTACATACTTATATGTTTTGGAAGATAGTTGCGCGCAAGTAACGCGCTAGTGGTGTGCTAATATTATGCTTAGTACAGAGAGGGAGCCTATACGTTTTCGATTTTTTAACAATTGTTGTGTTTGTGAATGGTATGTGTGGGTGAGAGCAAGAGGTTTTATTGTTCGGAGCAGAGATGGAAAATTTAATTTTCAACTCGTACCTAATTTGAATAAAGACAAACGTAAAATATGATGCAAGCAAGACCAACCTTTAGATCCGTCTATACTACGAAGAACCTCTTCGGGCCATTCGAGACCATATAAATAATATCGTTAGAAAGCGGTCCTCATGAGATATTGCTTTTCGGGCAATCGCAGCGAATTCGAAGCCCCTAGCCTTTCAGCGCAACTTTTTGCAAATTGGAGAAAAAAGCAAAATTTTTTAAGTAATCGAAGAACGGAAGAAGACAAGGTACATTAGAGCTGCAAAGATCAACACGTTTCGGAATACACATCCTTGTTGGCAGCCATTACTTCAATGCTTTAAAGACCTCAAATAATTTACTTGGCAACCAACCAATCAAGTCAGCCTGGAATTCAAGAGCTCGAAGGGCAGCAGGGTGATGGAACATTGGACGAGCAAATGGTATATTTTACAAATCTTAAATTATACTCGGTCTCTTTATATGGCGCATTTTTATTCTCCTTATTTGGCGTTGTAACCGCCTAAGTGCTTTTGGCCAAGTTCAACAAAGCACAGCAGTCGTTTCTTTTCTGTGCCAACTGACGCCAATTGGAAATTCCAAGTGCAGCTAAGTTCTTCTCCACTTGGTTTTTCCATCGCAGTGGGTGGCCTCCCTCTTCCTCTGCTTCCAGAGGGTTCTGAGGTGAATACTTTAAGAGCTGGGACGTCGGAGGCCATTCGAACGACATGGCCAAGCTATCGGAGCCGCTGTATTTTAATTCGCTGCGTTATGTCCATGTCGTTGTAAAGCCCATACAGACCATCATTCCATGGTCTGCGCTACTCGCAGTCAACAGTGGCGTGGGTGCCAAGGTGCGAACGCGCTGACTGTTTGTTGATATCTTGTCCTTGTTGACCACCAGACCCATTCGCTTGGCTTCCATATCCAACTTGTAAAACGCTGAACAGACTTCGCGGGTCAGTTCTGCAGCTCTTAATATCTTCTCCAACATGCGATTGAAGAAATCACATGAAAGGGAGTCGCCCTTTTGAAACCCTGTTTGGTGGCAAACGGCTCGGAGAGGTCTTTCCCAATGCTGACGCAGCTGGTGGTATTGGGGATGCTGAATTCAGAAATTGCGGCATATAGGCAGCTCCTTTTAGTGCTATCGAAAGCGGCTTTGAAGTCAACAAATAGGTGATGAGTTTCGATCCTTTTCGCGCGGGTCCAAAATTTTGCGTATTGTGAATACCTGGTCTATGGTGGATTTGCCAGGTCTAAAGCCACACTGATAAGGCCCAATCAGTTCATTGACGGTGGGCTTCAGTCGTTCACACAATACGCTCTAATAGACTTTGTAGCCTTCTGGCTGAACCCAAGGTAGTTTCCGCGAAAGGCGTGGTCGCCTTCCTTGTGGATTCGGCAAAGAACACTTAAATTCCAGTCGTCTGTCTAGCGTTCATCTGCCATATTCTGCATAAGAGTTGATGCATTTGGTTTCTCGTTTTTCGAGCTGAAGGCAGCCACGTGGCTTGATGGATCTTTTTATGCCTGAACCTAGTACTACACACCATGTTTCGGGCCACGGCGAAGTCGATCAATATCACTTCATTGTCGGACATTTCATCGTGGAGGCTGCATTTTCCTACGGTGGTTCCAAAGATCCATTCCTTTCCCAACCTGGCATTGAAGTCGCCAAGCGCGATTTTGATATCCAGGCGGGGGCAGCGCTCATAGAAGGGATCCGTCCTTCTCTTCCATCGGGGCATGGGAGAAGATGAGCGAGATGTTGAAGAATCTCGCTTTGATGCCTAGACGCTGGTCCACCGGGGTGAACGACAGTACTCGGCGACGGAATCACTCTCCCACCACAAATCCAACACCGAATTTGCTTTCGTTTACATGGCAGCTGTATTAGACGTCGCAAGGCCCCAGACATTTTTTGTCTTGCACCTTCCAATGCATTTCTTGTATGGCGGTGACGTCAGCTTTTGTCCTTACGAGGATATCAACCACACGGGCAGAGCCACCTTCCCCATCAAGGGTTCGGACCTCCCAGGTGCATGCCCTCAAATCGTATTTCTTTAAACGTTTGCCGTGGTCGTCATCAAAAGGGTGGCTTAGGGGCGGGGGTCTCATCCGGGACTTTGTGTTGGTTCTTAACTGGAAGCAGTTTTTGCGCGGCGGGTCCCAAACCCAGCGCACAACCCATTGCTGGGACCCATTGCGAGCCGCTTGCTCCAAGACAGACACCCGCTTGCAGCCACACCTGCTGATGAACAGACGCTGCAGACTGAACCCTCAAACCGAATAAGTCGGAGTGGTCCCCCTCTTTCTGCCGTGACCAAAGGCTCCACTCGGATTAGTTACCGCATCTCGCACATGGGTTGCTCAAGTTGCCCAGAGTCGGTCTTGAGTATAACCGTGCAACTGTAACTGCATATTCAGCACAACGTTTATACCCAGTGCACTCCATTGTATGGCGCACAGGCGAATTCATATAAGGTGGTAGAGGTAGTACAAAAACAAAAACTATCATGTATTTTGTTTTCGCTCTCGGTACACAAATGTCATATTTCAGCTATTCTTCGTTCAAGGAGGAAGAGGGAAAGAAAAGGCCAACACTCTTCCTTTCGCACTCACTTATAAGGGGTTTTGACATATGTGTACCAAGGCGAATTAGAGCAGCTGTTCTAGCAACACCACCTTATATGAATTCGCCTTGATGGCACATTAACGTGGGAAATGTTTGGCAAAAGTGGAAAGGTTTTAATATCATTCGAGAGTACAATTCCATACAAGTTTTGTGTTAATATTCGAGTACGCGGCATTCCTACACCAGCTTTATAAGGAAGTACACATAGTCAAGCATAAAAATGCATCGATTGCGTTGATGACTAAGCATAGAAGCAGCTATCTGCGCTTAGTTCTCAAATGAAAAAGGCAATGGATAAAGCTTTTCGATATAACCTTAACTAAAAAAGAATTGTAAGTTATGCCAATAAAAGAAAGTATGTATTGTAATCTTTTTCTTTTGGACCACATTTAGATGTATGTACCTAAAATATGTATGAATTAAAAAGGTACAATGTACTTACTTGTCCATCACTGGTTGAGAACATATCTTGGTTTAGAAAGGTGAGTGAGAGTGAGGGAGTTTTACCAAGAGCTCATACATATTTTTAATAATCCAAACATAATTAAAGCAGGACACTTTGTCATCAAAGTAATGTATTAAAAAGCCAGGAGCTTAAATTCAATTAAAAACAATATTCAATAATTCAAAATCTTGTCTTGTTCTTCGAGAGGAGGATAGTGTTCTGGAGAAGCTGTTCTCAATTATGATGTACTTAGTTAAAGACATTTCTCATATGCCCTCACTATATGTAGTCACATCTATAGTATGCATAAATATATTTGTATTATGTTGCGAATCTTCTTTGAATATTCAATACAGATATGCATTTGTATAGCCCTGCATACTTATGTACATATGTATGTATGTATATACTCGTATTTATTTAGGTATGTACGTACATATATACTTAGAGGAATTATGTACTCTACAGTAAAATTATAAGGCAGTTTCCCAAAGTTTCAACACTGTTTTAGTAGGTTTAACTTAAATAAGTATAGTATAAATAACTGGCGGAACTTCGCAAAATAAAGAGACAATTCGCAAAAGTTTTTTGCGCCCGAGAACCAAAATTTTGAGGATCTTTGACTCGAGGACAAAACAAAAAGAAGTGAATCCTTTTCTACT